TAAGGAGCACCAGCCATCGACACGCGATCCGACAATCTCTGCACCGATCGCTGTCGGCCGCGGCCCGGCGCCCACTGCGTCCGCGTCCATCTTCCTCGTCAGCCGAATCGACTCCAAGTGAGATGGATGGGCGGGTCAGCTTTCTCGCCGGGCCGCCGCAGTCCCACCGGGCAGCTTTCTCGCCGGGCCGCCGCAGTCCCACCGGGCGCCGCAGAGGCGCGTGACCCCTCTGACCTTGGTGGGAACGGATACAAAATGGGAATGTATCGAGCGTTGACAGACCGCGTGGATTATGTCGTCATCGGTAAGCACATTCGCCGGGCGCTGGCTTGCGTAACTGGTGGTCATCAGGATCAGCTAGCAGCGTGGCAGCGAAACGCTTCACATTCGTGAGCGAGTTGTGTGGTTCGACGGTGGGCGCGGTCAATGCCGCCAGCCGTGAACGATACGAATCTCTAGGCTGCTCCGCAGTGCTGAAGGCCTTTGGCTGAATGCCCCGTCAGTGTTTTTACTGCGGCAGGTGGGTAGCGGCAACGGTGGAGGGCACATGGAAGGCCATGGTGAAAGAAAAGAGTGCACGGTCCAATCCACCTTCTAAATACCCGAACAAAAGAGAACGGTGATGATTGAAGGGCCCATTGAGGCAAAGGTCTTAATCACGCGGGTGCCAGCTTGGATGAGGCATCGTTTGTTACCCTTCCCTTGATTTGAACCGAGATTGCACCAAAAGCGGTCTTTATTGCCACATTCCAAAGCAAACACTGCTCATGAGCAAGAGCTTTGCGATTTAGTGGTCATTCTGGAAAGAGACACCAGGAGATGAATAGTCAGAGGTGCTCCATTGGACCCAGGAAAGCAGTCAGAGGTGCTCCATTGGATCCAGGTAAATGGTAAGAGGTGCTTCACTGAACCCAGGTAAATAGTCAGAGGTGCTCGATTGGACTTATTTATGTGTTGACACCTTCCATTTACTCGGAGTCTGGCGCGAAACACCACACCACGGAGCACTGCGGAATGTTTTGCCCTAAATTAGAATACAATACTACCTAGTTCATGGACAGGCGGAACAGCAACTGCTTTGTGTTAACGTGCACGTGTTAAATATATGTTCTGCTTATCTCGGATGCGTGCTGGCTCTTGTCATCTCGTAGAAGAACGAAAGCCTACCGTTGGTCACACCCCTCACGCCTTCTTTCACCTCCCTGATTTCCTGAGGTTGGTACCAAAGTCACCATCCCATTGTTCTAGCCGGTTTTTGCTGTCTTGCATCAGTTTTTGCCACTTTTCCACCATGTTGGTGACGGATCTGTCGGCGCTGTCGTTGTACCCGATCGCTCTTCTGCGTTGACGTATTGCTTCGCAGCACTCGTGCCAGGCGTCTCCTGGCGCTCAAATAACTGTGCCGCTGCGGACATTGGCGCCCCTAGCAAACGAAATCACGTTGGCCACGCTTGGGAACACACACACACGATGACTAGAATATTGCATCATGGAAACCTGGGCAAGAATTGAAGCTGTACGAAATGCAGGTTGGAAAAGAATCGCTTTTATCGCTTTTTGCATAGCCCGATTTGGCCGAAACGGTTGAGAAAATATGGCAAGTTGAAAACCATATCCCGAGTCGCTAACGAATTAAACGTTCGATCGCGGCGGACAAAGACAGCGATGAAGATTCGGTTCACCAAACCGGAACGAAGCAGTGCTCTGATGACAGCTCGTCGTGAGCCGGCCCCTCACCCGTCTCTGCCATGACGAGGGGGCCTCCGCGAGGGGGCCTCAGCGAGGGGGCCTCAGCGAGGCATCCGCCGTTCCGCGCGCTGCGGGGCGTCCCACGCCACTTACGGCGCTGACGGGGCCTCACCGCCGGGGGCGGTGTCCGACCTCGTCCTGCGCGCGGTCACGGCCGACCGTCGTCACGTCACCAAGGCCGCGGCGTGACGGCGGGAGCGGCCGTGACGTGGGCCCGCGGCCGGCGTCACGGCCACACGGCGTCACGGGTCTCCCACGGTGCTGATGACGCACCGCCGAGCCGGTCAGAGGTCACGTGACTGAGTGACGCGCCCACCGGCGCCGACCGAGCCGCGAGGCTGCAGGGTCGGTGTGGCGTGCGTGATCCTCGGGTGACGTCGGGATGTGGGCGGATCACGAGTGCCCGAGATTCCCGGGCGCCGCCGAACACCGCCAGAAATGGCGTCTCAACGTGTAGAGCGAAATGGAAAAGCCAGCCGGGGCTTACGGCCGTGCTCGGCGGTAAGACACCGCTCAGCGATGAGGGAGTTACGCCCTAAATCTTGGTTCAGGGCCAGACGAAGAGCCCTGCACAGGGAGCCAAATCTCGTGACGCTGCCTGGCTACGACTAGGGCTGGCTGGTCCACCGCCGCCACTCTTGCCTCGGAGCTCTGGGCTGCGAGCGGCGAGCGCTCACGGTCGGCGCGCTCAAACTGACCCTTTCGTCGGCTGATGCGGGCGCATCCATCTCCGTCGCGGAGCCTCTCCGCGGGCCGCCATCTCAGCCACGCTGCATATCTAAACAGGCTGCCGTATTGACATGGTCTGTTTGTCCCATTACGGCGGCTCTTGCCGCGTACGACGGTGCGGCCTCAGCCGGCCGCGCTCAAGGTCTGGCCGTCACGTGTCGTCGCGATCAGGGGCGCCGCCAGGTCACGTGGTGTCGAGTGCCGCCGGTCTAACGGGCTGGTCTCCATGCATGGGCTGCGTGTTGGCGGTTAATGAGAGGCGCTCTGCACGACAGACAGCGTGACTGGGCGACAATGGCCGGCCATGGTGCTCCACGGCCGACGACGCCGACGACCGGGCGCAGAGGACGCGTGGGCGGTAGGGCACCGGTAGGGCACGGCCCTTCGGCGTCACGGGGGGGGGGGGGGGCGCGGGCCTTGTGATGCCTCCTGCATTATATCTTTTTGAAATACATTGGGTTCTTATTTGTACACGACTCCACCCAGCCAGGGTGGCGAAATACCTAAGCGCTGGTCCTGCGCCTATGCAATGCCACTTTGGCATGCCAGGTGACCTTGTTGAGATTTTATCGTAGTGACTCCTAGCTTTTTGGTGTCATACTTCGACCGCCAGGCATCTCATAACAAATAACAGAGACGGGCGCAAATAACGTGCCAAACAATGGACGCGCCCTGAAGCCACAAAGTATATGCATGTATATATATATATATATATATATATATATATATATATATATATATGCAAAAGCTACTGTAAATGACAGTGTAATTGATGTGCAACATCTCATCTGGGCTTTAGTAGGACAGGCCCCGAGCTTTCAATATTTAAGCTTCATGAGGATGGTGCACAGGCACCAGTATTGCAGCGAAACTGATACACTACATTTGCCGCTTTAAGCACAGACGAGTCTTGGGATGAGTTATTCTTTATGACTAGGTTGGTCACTTTGGGGTTCCGGTAGAAGATGATGAGCTTAATTCTGTCTTAAGACTTGACAGGCTGGCTAATTCTGTCTTAAGACTTGACAGGCTGGCGGTGTTTGAATACGACGTCTCGGATAAACTTCTAAACAAGGGACACGCCCCGCTTGTTTGACGGTGCTTTGCCTACTGCTAGAATGGGTTGAGTCTTCATGCTGAGGGTCCCTTCGAGAATCTTGAGCGAGCTGTGCATTTTTTTTTTTTGTCCCGAACTGCCGAGATCAGCCGATTGTAAAAATTTTCCTGCGATCGACCCCTACCGAACTTAAGTTTTGTTGTCATTTTATTGATTATTATGTAATAGGAACGCACGGTAACACGGCAGGCGACAACAGGGGTGTAAGAGCAGAGAGGGTGGGGCGGCTGAGCACGCAGAGGCACGTTGAACACAGTGGGCGGACACGATGGGCATCAGGGACAGCACACGAGCACACCACTGAGTGCGATCGTCCCGATACGAACCCTGCCAGCTCTCGAGTGTCCCTGCCAGCTGTTTGCCAGCTGGTGGGGCGCGTCCTAACCAGTTTGCGAGCGTTACCGTGAGACAGTGGGGACGTGTGCAGATCGTGCATCGGCGCTATATATTGAGCTGTCACTGTGACATGAAGCCCAGCACTAGACTGGGCGAGGTGTGCATTGTTTCAATATCTTCAAAAGGGAACGCATATACAATGACGCATTCTCTGCGCATCCGTTCACTCGCCTGTGAGGCGACAGTTGCATATCGCGGGTGCTGAGTGGGTGTCGGTTTAAATAAATCACTGTCGTGACGCGGCCACGCCCGCGGAGAACCGCCCCTGGATCGCAGGAGCGGCTAACGCCGCGCGTTGACATCGCAGCGTGGCTCAGCATTAGCTCAGCGGTTGGCATCAGCCGTGAGTCAGCACTAGCTCAGCGGTTGACATCGCAGCGTGGCCGCATTAGGTCAGCGGCTGACATCAGCCGTGGCTCAACATTAGCTCAGCAGGAGCGGGTAACGCCACGCGTTGACACCGCAGCATAGCTCAGCATTAGCTCAGCGGGAGCGGGTAACGCCACACGTTGACATCGCAGTATGGCCGCATTATTTCGGCGGTTGACAGCAGCCGTGGCTCAGCATTAGCGCAGCGGCTGACATCGCAGCGCGGCCGCATTAGCTCAGCAGTTCGAGCTAGTTTTATTTCCTACTTTTCAGAGCTGGTCTAATAGGCATCCAAAGTGGGATCTTCCGCTTGAAGGTGGGAGTTATTTTGCTTTGCCATGTATAATCCGATAACGATTATGCGATAACAATTATGCGAAACGATAGATGGCTGTCTTAATGACTTTGTGCTAAAATACCTAATTGCGGATGTCTACTGCAAATGCATTAGGCATTGTTTGTGTTCGCTATAAGCACCTGTCTAACTTGAAGCCTTGCAGCGATCACACCACCGAAGCTTCGAGCTTCGCGGTAGCTTTGCGCCGTTCAAGCTCTGATCCTTCAACTCGTCGCTGACTGCGCGGCAGTACGGCATCGTTAGCCGAATTCCGCTTACGTTAGTTTGCTCTCTCTTTTCCAGGACCTGATCCAGCGCCAGTCGACGAAGCGGGTCGGACGCAGTGTTGACCTCTTGGCCGCGCCTGCACTCGACGGCCGCCGGTCAGCTGTCGGCTGTTAGATCCCCTGGGGAGTGCAGCTGCCAGCGGAGCGGCTTCAGCCGGAACGCCTGCTGACGAGGGCGGCGGCGGCGTGCCGCGCCGGGGTCCGTGACGGTCTACGTGGCCCGCCGTGTGGCCGGCTGACGTAGCGGAACTCAGCCGAGAGTGATGCGATGTGTGGTGCCTTGAAGCGGTCTTCAGGCTGGTGTGACACCACCAACTGCTGTTCTCTGGTGATTTTCTGAACGGACTCCGCTGAAAGGTAAGCTTTGGCGTTATCTTGTTGAACACTGCGGCGTTCCGTAAACATTGGGCTGTGGCCGTGGCTTTAGCAATGGTTTGCATGCCATTTTGTAGAAAAAAAGAAAGGCATGCAAGCAGTATCACAATGGGCACTGCGACCCCTGTGACAATGGACTATGTCCGCAACATTCTTTGCTTAACCTTAATAGTTTAACCCTTACATTGTTCGCGTTACAAAAATGCTCCGATGCCATATAAACCTAATTGAAACGATTCTCGGCAAAACGGTGAATCTCAGACTGAAAACAAGTGTCATTTTCGGTTATTTTCGGCAGATGAAAGAGGTCCCTGCATGACGGCGGGCATGCAATGGCTGACCATGGCTGTTAATGTCACCATGTGTCTGTGTGTATTAGAACATCACTGGTGCTGGCTAATAACGCATTTTGGGGAATATGTACTATTACTTAACGAGGCACCAAAGTGATGTCGCTGGTAGATGGTCCGAAGTGATGTACTCCTCGGCTTCGTAGGCGATTCTCCGATCGCAGGGGCCTTTTGAATAGTTGCATTCGCATTAGGGATCAAATGAGGCACGAAATCTGTTGAGGATCATCACTGTTCGCGTAAGCAAATGGCCTTCCATTCCTCATGACTGTTCACGAATTGAACAACAGGCAGTCGACCCCACTGAATATCGGAATTTATTCAGGGAAATGCGAGAGTATTGCTGGGCAGAATTCCCCATTCAAGCATCGCTTTAAACGTTTGAGAGCACGACTGCTAATTGCATATTCAATCAAGGGTGCCATATCACACCGATTAGTTGCAATGTTTACAGCTGTGTGGTGCTTGTCCTGCACGCGAACAAACCCTGGATTGGGAATGCATCACAATTTCGATTTTGGACCACTTTGCGCGATATCTTTTTAATTAATATGAGACTTGTGTGCTCCTCTACGGCCTCTGTCATTACCACCCGCTGTAAGAAGTGTCGATACTAACACCATAGGGCATCCGTGCCAATATACTTGTTACTTGCTTTAGGCACTGTTTTCGGCCAAATCGATTTCGTTCCGACACAGGACAGGCTGCATTGTCAGTCGTTATGCCACGCGGACTGGACCGTGACCCTAAAACCAGCCTGTTTGTGTGCGGGACGTTTGTGTTGCGGCTTGAATCGACCCCGCGTCCCGTCCATTAAGCAGCAAGGCACACGCTGCCGTCCGCCTCCCGCCCCGTCCATTAAGCAGCAAGGCACACGCTGCCGTCCGCCTCCGTCCCGTCCATTAGGCAGCAAGGCACACGCTGCCGTCCGCCTTCCGTCCCGTCCATTAAGCAGCAAGGCACACGCTGCCGTCCGCCTTCCGTCCCGTTCATTAGGCAGCAAGGCACACGCGGCCGTCCGCCTTCCGTCCCGTCCATTAGGCAGCATGGCACACGCCGCCGTCCGCCTTCCGTCCCGTCCATTAGGCAGCATGGCACACGCTGCCGTCCGCCTTCCGTCCCGTCCATTAGGCAACATGGCACACGCTGCCGTCCGCCTTCCGTCCCGTCCATTAGGCAACATGGCACACGCTGCCGTCCGCCTTCCGTCCCAGTCCATTAGGCAGCAAGGCACACGCTGCCGTCCGCCTCCGGTTGGAATGGATGCGGCACAGGCCAGTTTCCCAGGCGGAGCGGGCCGGATTTCAGGGCAGGACAGAGTCCCAAAGCTGGACCAGGCCCAGGGCAGGACCGAGTCCCAGAGCAGTGCTGGGTCCGGAGCAGGGCTAGATCCGAAGCACGACCAAGTCCAGAGCAGGCTTGGGTCCAGAGCGGGATTTTGTCCACAGGAAGACCAGCTTAAGAGAGTATGAGCGCATGCGGAACATGCCTAGGCCCAGAACAGCATCGAACCCCGACCGGGGCCGGGTCCAAGGCGGGACCGGATCCAGGGCGGCGCGCAGTCCACCAGAGCGCGGGGCTTAAGACAGGACCATGCCCATGACAGTGTCGTGTCCAGAGCGGGACATAGGAGGGCTGCGTCTGGAGCAGAATCAGGTCCAGGGAGCACAAACAGAGCTAGATGAAGTCTAGCGCAGGATCTTGTGCTGGGCAGAACCCGTGCAGGTCCCGAGCGGGGACCGTAAGGCCTTTAGAGCGTCATGTCTGTGGAACAGGGCGCACTGGTCAAAATGTTGTACATTTCCGTGTCAGTGGTCATGTGTGCTAAGCAGTGTCTATATTTCCAAAAAATAATGTGAAATGCAAAGCATTCACATGAGCTTAGGCTCCTGAGAACGGAATGAAATAGGCGGGGGGCATTACCAGTCTTAACAATCAGGATCTGATTATGATTTGTATAGCAGCAAAGGGAACAGACATGCATAACTTCAGGTCGTTTATTAAGTGGCCCTGGTGAGCTCCTAAAACAACTCACTTGGCTGTGCTGTACAATGTACCGCGTAAGATGGCAGCGGTGTCAACTCTTATGAGGTCCACGACGAAAGAAGTCGCACGTCTTGGTATCTGCATTAGAAAGTTATGCAATAGGAGGTACATGCCTGATACGTGTACGCATAACTTCTCGTCCATTTCAGTAGTTGCTTGATTGATAGCTGTTGCAGATGGACCATGCTGCACTTAAGTTCATCCATTTGGTTCGTGTCATGGTCGAAGTTAATTTATTGATATATTGTAGCGAATTTTACTCGGTTTTCGTGCTCCGTAATGTGTTCAGCTTCCTGTCGGATGGTGATCTTGGGCCAGTTTTTCTCATACTTAGCGGGAGGAGCTCTGTTGCCAAGTATTTGTTTGTGGAGTTATTTAATGCCTTCGCGTTAACGTCCCACGTGACACGTAGTTTGAAACCCTCACGTTGTCGTAATTGTTTCATATTACCTACTTTTTGCTATGCCTGCCGTGTCCCTGTCCTCACATGTGATCCCATCATCCTGAGGCTACCCGCCTCATCGGTTACCGTTCGTCGCAGCGCGGTGTTCGGCTATTTCGGGCGAAGACCATTTAAGACGACAAGTCTGGTTAGTTCAAGGCAATCGGCATCGGGCTTCTTAGCGACCTAGGCGTCATTCAAGCGTGGCTGCATGCGGTCTTAACCTGCCAAGTCGTCCGAAGTTGTTCAGATATGCAAATCGAAATGGTTCAGCATGAGCTGATGGATTCTCGTGGTGTGCGCGCCGTAACTGTGTAAAGCCTGAAACTAGTGGTTTAGACTTAAAAGGCCTGAAAATGGCCCCGGAATCATAGCTAGTTGTAAATGCTTCACACGATCACAGATGCCATCTGGTGATGTGCGTTATCCAAAACAGGCAATAAGTTTGAAAAATGTATGGCAAGCGGTTATAAAATTGGTTTTTTTTAGTTTCAAAGCGTTTGCAACGTCTCATGCATCGTAGAATGTGAATGGTTTTGGAGCTGCTATGTTGGCCGAAGCTAGCAGAAATATTGGATTAAAATCTTACAGTACCTCATGATGAAAGAGATGATTCAGTATATGTTGTAACATTGACGCTCTCTTTCTTGCTACCTCTTTCCCGAATTTGTTCTCATTCCTATATTTCCCTTGTTTCTGTCTGCCTGTCTGTCTGTCTGTCTGTCTGTCTGTCTGTCTGTCTGTCTGTCTGTCTGTCTGTCTGTCGTCTGTCTGTCTGTCTGTCTGTCTGTCTGTCTGTCTGTCTGTCTGTCTGTCTGTCTGTCTGTCTGTCTGTCTGTCTGTCTGTCTGTCTGTCTGTCTGTCTGTCTGTCTGTCTGTCTGTCTGTCTGTCTGTCTGTCTGTCTGTCTGTCTGTCTGTCTGTCTGTCTGTCTGTCTGTCTGTCTGTCTGTCTGTCTGTCTGTCTGTCTGTCTGTCTGTCTGTCTGTCTGTCTGTCTGTCTGTCTGTCTGTCTGTCTGTCTGTCTGTCTGTCGTCTGTCTGTCTGTCTGTCTGTCTGTCTGTCTGTCTGTCCTGTCTGTCTGTCTGTCTGTCTGTCTGTCTGTCTGTCTGTCTGTCTGTCGTCTGTCCTGTCTGTCTGTCTGTCTGTCTGTCTGTCTGTCTGTCTGTCTGTCTGTCTGTCTGTCTGTCTGTCTGTCTTCTGTCTGTCTGTCTGTCTGTCTGTCTGTCTGTCTGTCTGTCTGTCTGTCTGTCTGTCTGTCTGTCTGTCTGTCTGTCTGTCTGTCTGTCTGTCTGTCTGTCTGTCTGTCTGTCTGTCTGTCTGTCTGTCTGTCTGTCTGTCTGTCTGTCCTGTCTGTCTGTCTGTCTGTCTGTCTGTCTGTCTGTCTGTCTGTCTGTCTGTCTGTCTGTCTGTCTGTCTGTCTGTCTGTCTGTCCTGTCTGTCTGTCGTCTGTCTGTCTGTCTGTCTGTCTGTCTCTGTCGTCTGTCTCTCTCTCGTCTGTCCTCGTCTGTCTCTGTCGTCTCTCTCTGTCTGTCTCTCTCTCTCTCTCTCTCTCTCTCTCTCTCTCTCTCTCTCTCTCTCTCTCTCTCTCTCTCTCTTTCTACCTATCCATATTTACCTATCCTATCCTATACCTATCCTATCCGTCTACCCATATTTTTCATATATCTCTCTTTCTCCGTTCGCCTGTTCCCCACCCTCTCAACCTCCAAGCCACTTCAGCCTCTTCTGACCCGCCTCTTTCTTCCAGCTCGCTGCATCCGACGGTCACTAAATCACGCTCGTCACCCGGCAATCACGGGGATGCCCGCCCCTCCCCCGTCCCCACGCACCCAGCGGCGCCCCTGCGGTCTTGCTCGGCCCGGTCCGCCGGCACCGCTGCAACCATCACACCAATTACCTAAGAGCCCCCGCCGGCTGGCCGCTCCGCTGTAACCTCCAACCCACGGCCTGTGTTCTGACGGCCGGTGCCTCCGCCGCCCGCTGTGATAGGCTATCAGAGCACTGCTGCGGCGGTTTGGATGGCCCGGGCAGGTCTGTCTGCGCGACATCTGAGTGTGGCCCGCCGCCGTCGCCGCACATCACTGGAACCCAGCCGGTCAGTGGACTCCGCTCTTGTCCCTGGCCCACTCGCTGGGACCCGGCC